TACTTTTAAAATTGAAAATTGTGATAAAAATTCAATTAATTATTGGACACTCATCAAAGACTTGTTAGGTAAAAACAGTATTTCTTCCATTCCAGTTTTATACCTGCCTAATAATGATGTTCCTGCATGCTCCAGTTTGGACAAATCTAATATGCTCATGAAATACTTTGTACAGAAAAATCTGATTGAAAATAATGCAAATCTTACACCTATTTTTCCAAGCAGAACCAATCAAATACTCCAAAACTTCAGAACTTCACAACAAGAGGTCTTTGAACTACTTAACGAGTTAGATGTACATAAATCTCCTGGTCCTGATGAAATCTCAAACAAGATGTTAAAAATGTGTGCCAGCTCTTTTTCATTACCAGTAAGCAACCTATTTAATAGAATATTTGACGAGAATATTTTTCCAGATATCTGGAAGGAGGGAATAGTTATTCCAATTTACAAAAAAGGTGACTCAACCATTGCCTCCAATTATAGACCTGTAACTCTCCTAAGTACTTTGTCTAAAGTTTTCGAACGCATTATTCATAGACATTTGCTTTCTCATCTTCTCGAGCACAATCTCTTGTATAAACTCCAAAGTGGGTTCTTACCTAAACATGGAAAAACAAATCAACTAATAAATATTGTACATGATCTTCATCAACATATTGATAATAAAGAGCATATACGCTCAATCTTTTTGGACCTGAGTTCAGCTTTTGACGTTGTCCCGCACAACTTATTGATAACTAAATTAAAAGGCTATGGTTGTAACAACAATTTTATTAATCTCATTAAATCATACTTAAGTGATAGGCGTATCAGAGTTAAGGTCAATAATAACTTATCAGAATGGTCCTCTGTTCAACATACAGATGCTCAAGAATCAGATACACAAATACATAATAACAACCCTCAGATCAAGAATTATAAAATTAATGCAGGAGTTCCTCAGGGTTCAGTGTTGGGACCCCTCCTATTTTTGATATATATCAACGACTTACCGGATGGTCTTGTTTCAAAGACTTTCATATTCGCGGATGACACATCACTCCATAATCCTTTTGATGTAAATGAAATATTTCTCGATATTCATGAACCCATTCAAAGTGATTTGGACCACTTAGACCAATGGGCAGCAACTTGGAAAATGTTATTCAAAGCACAGAAAAGCGCTGATTTGATATTCACTGGACATAGAAACATTAATATTGAACCTCCTCCTCTGAAAATGAACGGGGAAATAGTCCCTAGATGTAATACTCATAAACACCTCGGACTTACTCTTGACCAGCACCTAAACTTCAACGCTCACATTGACTACTTAATTAACAAAGTAATAAGCCTGATGAGGCCCATGAAGAAACTCTGCAAGATCTTGTCAAGCAAGCACCTTGAAACTTTATATAATGCGTACATACTCCCTCATTTTGATTATTGTGACATCATATACAATAGTGCATCAGATACCAAATTGCAATCTCTTGAACGGTTACATTATAGAGCAGCATGTCTAGTCTCTGGAGCAATCCATGGCTCGAACACTAATAAAGTTCTCTCATCAATAAACTGGAAAACTTTATCCTCTAGAAGAGAGGAACATCTCAAAATATTTATTTTTAAAGCAAGATATAATAACTTTCCTCCTTTCATTTGTAATCTTGTCAGGTCCTATGAGAATGATATACAGGTGCGCTCACTAAGGAGCCACAGGGACTATAAGATTCCCCTTCAAACAAGCGCTTTGGCTAAGAAATCTACAATTTTTAAAGGTATGGCCCTTTGGAATAACCTTCCACCAGATTATAGAATTGGCCAGCCAATTTCAAGATTTAAAAGAATAGTAAGAGGCGATGGAAGCCATGCTTCTACCCTATCAACGTCAAAACTAAAAAATGCCATGCCTCGCTACCTAGAAATTCCGTTAAACCGACTCAGGTCCGGACTTCTCTTGCAAGCTCACCTCCATGCACACAACTTTGAACGGGTTGCTAATCCTAAATGTTTATGTGACAATACAAACCAGACAACTTTACATTTCCTGTTGAAATGCCCACTGCTGACAGAACAGAGAACAACACTACTTGCAGGATTGGAGACGATAGGGATCCGTACCCACTATGATGGACTTAATATGCATGATCAATCCCAGTTCTTACTTTTTGGAGATAATAAATTTCCAATAGATGTCAATGAGAAACTAATGAACATAGTAGCATATTATATCCACCAGGGTCTAGATCTTTTGGACATGTAATCGATTACAACATGTTACAACTGAAATCCCTCTGGCCAAGGGAAAAAAAAAACCTTACACATTTTTGTGATATACGAGTGTAGTGTGATGATATTTTATTGACTTTTTTTCATCTATTTTAACAATAACATGACATAAAAATAACTTATTATGTAAAAACTTAATAACATTCCTTTGGATTTCACTCAAAATTGCCGTCAATGTCATTAGACTTTGGCAATTGTTTAAGTTTGTATATCTGTATTTTATGGAATACAATAAAGATGATTAATAAAAAAAAAAAAAAAAAAAAAAACTCTTGGAGGGTCTGTGTGGCTATCAACCTAAATATCATCCTATATAAGAAGTTATGGAACCTTAAGGGATTTCTGACAATATTGTAACATATGTTGACACTATTTATAAAGATTTTTATCAAAATCCTGGAAAAACAGATAAATGAAATCAAGACCCAAATGTTGTTTATTACAATATGTTAATTGCTAAAGGGAACACTTGTTAATTATCAATTTTTATATGTGTTTTGCTGTAATTAATCCTCCTTACATTCATACCATATTTACAGTTTCTGGATCATGTTGCAAAGAGTCAATGAAATTTTCTATGAGACTACGTCATAATGATATCAAATAAAATTCACCTATATCTTTATCTAATTGACAACAAAATAATGAAAAATTGAGGTTTTTGATAATAGCTCTGGGTCGATGATATCCTGTAGAATCACATCATTTTTGTAATTTTATACCTTTTCTAAATAGGTTAATGTTAATCATTGTAATGATATATGCTGTTAGATTTTAATGTATGGAAACACTCACACATTTATGTAATGTGAAACTATTTGAAATGATTTATAGAACGTTATGATTTAGAGTAGGATATTTGTGTGTAAAAACAATAGAACCATACATGTCAAATCATGTAAAATCATACGATCACGAAATGCTGGAAAGTGGCTTATGATGTATTTTTTGAAATCCAAAGCTGGTTATTGATTGTATTTAATGTATGATTATGTTTATAATTTCAAATAAAGATAAAAAATAAAAAGATAAAGAAACCAAAAAAAAACACTGGGTATCCGTGTGATATGACCATAATTGTCTGATATGACAAACTGGGATAACTGATGGAGAATGTGCCTCCCATGTGGTTAATACAATGTCCATTTTAGGCTTTTCAATTTCCATTCCAAGCGAAATAAAAAGAACAAATCAAATTATTTTCTCTATGTTTTTACAGTTTACACAATTTATACACCCTCTGGAGTGTCCATTTCACAGGCCTGATGTACCAAACAGAATTTTGAAAAAATGCTTGATTAATCCTAATTTGTAAAATCACTTTTTTATAATTATAATGATATTACTGTGATTGGTTTATCAAAGGCTCTTGAAGAAACTACTTTGCAGCCTGTCTAAATATTAACAAGATCCATTTTGTTTATTCTAACTTTCAAATATTTTACACAATCTTTCTTATTCTTGGTGTTAGAATTGTTGGAAATAAATTCCAATATTTGAACTCTTTCAGTCTAAAACTATATTTGAATGATGAAAAAATATTTTGTTGTTAATATGTTACAATCTTTATTTTTTAAATAAAATGAAGGAATAAAAAAATAGAAAATACATGTATTTTCAGATGAAACTAACAGCCTTGTGTTTATGTCTGCTTATTCTGGGAGTTATCCAGCACAGCCAAGCCATGCCTGCCAGTCATAAGAAGAACTTATACTGCAAGACGAGGTGCTACCTTGAATTTGGATGTGACGAGTACGGAAAAGACGCTTTGATAGGATGCCACAAAAATTGCATGTCGGGAACTTTGAGAGAAGATCTACCCTGCACTCCTATTTAAGCAATATGGGAATGGTCTGAATACCAAACCTGAATTTCAGTGTTGGGCAAATACTACTTAACAGTGGGAATACTTGTGGCAGTAGCTAAAACTGCAAGCTGATTTTTATGACAATTAATTCTTATGTGACTGTTACAAATATATGACATTGAGAAATTAAGCAATTGCAGTTTTTTCTGCATTGATTTCTGCAAAGCTACTGGTACTTTATTTGAAATAACTAACTGAAATGATTTCATATTTTACCCTTTTTATAGAGAATTTAATTATATCTTTGACCTTGTACATAATGAAAACCATCACAGTTCAAATACTATTACCTTAGAATACTGATAACTAGAGTTCTTATTTTTGTCTTGATTAAGAATACTTGCGAATTCAAATCTACTGATTACATTATACTTTTTAATAATGGCTATTAATAAAACTGATACTCACTGTTTTAGCAATGTGAAATAATAAAAAAATTGTACTTTAGCATTTTGAAATAAAAATCACCTAATATCAGGGATTATGACAAAATATATTGTATTATTGATCATTATGTTGTTTTTTAATTGAGGTACAGTAGTATTGATAGTATATATGGGCAGAATCAGATCTAGCAAAATAATCTTGACGAACATTGTTTCAATTTTAGAATATTTTCGGATCATGTCAATCCTTGTTATGTCTTGTTTTCAAAAAATGCCCAAAGTGTAAACTTTATTTTGAGGAAAATTATTGATTTTTACAATAAAGCATTCAATTGAAAACAAATATGGTGACGATTTTTATTATTTTGGAAAATTTCAACATTTTCCACTCATTTCTGTACTTTGAATCTTACATCACCAATTGAAAACATATCTGGAAACTTTTAGGAGATATCATTAGCTTATACTGTCACCCCCTATAGATCTGATCCTGCCTTTAAATGAATTTTTACTATCCAGCTAAGTATTCAATTACTGTCATTAAATCAACAAATCGACATGCTAGTTGATTGAGTATATAGATAAATAAATAACAATATATTACATATCCTAATGTGATAATCTCAAGGGATACCAAAGCTTTCCCATCAATCTAACAGAGCCATCTTAAAGTTCTGTCACATCACAAATGTTTTGTCCACTGTGATCAAGTATATTTTTATTGTCATCAAGTCTATTGTCTTGTTGTTGGTTGATCTTTTCATCATGATTATGCTCATCTGGTCTGAATCCCTGATTTGATTGGCCACTCGATAGGGTGACTTCATGTGGTGGTTCATGAGGTGCCAGGTGCTAAAACACATAAATGTTATACAGTCTAAAATAATACATCAGAAACATTTGCAATGAGTACTACTATAGTCTTAAATAATATATCTGCAACAAATGCAATGAATACTACTACAGTCTAAAATAATACATCTGCAACAAATGCAATGAATACTACTACAGTCTAAAATAATACATCTGCAACAAATGCAATGAATACTACTACAGTCTAAAATAATACATCTGCAACAAATACATTGAATACTATTACAGTCTAAAATAATACATCTGCAACAAATGCAATGAATACTATTACAGTCTAAAATGATATATCTGCAATGAATGCAATGAATACTACTACAGTCTAAAATTATATATCTGCAACAAATGCAATGAATACTATTACAGTCTAAAATGATATATCTGCAGCAAATGTAATGAATACCACTACAGTCTAAAATAATATATCTGCAACAAATGCAATGAATACTACTACAGTCTAAAATAATACATTTGCAACAAATGCAATGAATACTATTACAGTCTAAGATGATATATCTGCAACAAATGCAATGAATATGACTACAGTCTAAAATGAAAATGCAATAAATACATCAAAATTAAATGCATTAAATTATACATCTGACACAAATGTAATGAACTACAATTAAAAGGAATGTGTCCGAAACAAATGCGATAAATACTACTTCTGTCTCAAATGCAGCTGCAACAAACACAATTTGAGTAAAAACTGATATGCAGTCAGTTATTTTATCTATATATTTATCATAACTGTAACATTCAAATGATGGAGTCATTCTTCCCACATACTGTATCTAAATAAAAGGGAAATCATGAGAATAAGTGGATAAATAAAAGTGTAATATTAGGTGCATATTATGTGCCATAATCTCTGAATATCATAAATCTCAGATATTATCAAAGTAATCATATATAAATGTTATTCTGGATTAGCTCTTTGTGTATTCTTTCAATTGACATAGTTGGAGCCACTGAATTTAAGCAGGAGCAGGACTACTGACATTGAAAACATAAAGCAATGTATTTTATCCCATACTTGAACATATTTGCAGTATATACTAGAGGTTATACCTAGGGATGATCACATATTGGATTTATCCAGAGGGATGATATGATATCCTTTTGAGGAAACAAAGGAAGATATTATATCACCCTGAAGGATAACCCAATATACAAATCCAAATGGGGAATAACTCAATGATTAATAAACAAATAAATAATCAATAATTTGAAAACAATTAATTTACCACATTGATTTTTTTGTAAATGTAAACAAATATAAATAGAGTAAATGAAATCCAAGGAATGTATGCAGGATGTATTATAGCAAAAAATGAATATAAATAGAGTTGCTTTATACAGCTTATATTATTTTGATGATGGTATAAAAAGAATATATTAACTACACATACACATATTAGTGAATCTATATAAGATTAATATGTAGTAAAGGATAAAGGGATCATCCTTTAGTCAATTCATTATTTTTGGATTGTCTCCTGATTAATATAATATACTGGTATATGCCCTTGGGACGTCTGAGCCTTTGATATCATATTTGCCTCAGGATGATTCGGATAATCTCTACTTGACTGATGATGTCATCATTTTGCTATGTGATTTTCAAATGCTACCTTTGTACTTTCTCATTAAGAAATTAAAAGTAAAGCGTTGGATAAATAGGGTGCTGACATCTTTTTTTCTTAAAAACTGCATTTACATAAACATTCTGATAATTAATGTGTCAGATGTCATGAGTCTTCTTGAGATCTTTTAGACTTATACCCTATTGTGATAATGGTGTTCTACATTTAATATGTTTGTTTTCATTTATTGGTAGTAAGTAGGTCTTATTAATTTCTTTAGCAAAGGATAGGTATCGATATGGTGAACTGAATTCAACAATGTTTTTCTCTTAAACCAATAATTGAAAACATTCTGTAAAAAACACAGTCCTTTATGTAATGTTGACTGATTTGCAACAACTTAATGCAAAAATTAATTATATATATTTTATATATATCTGTTTTTGTTAACATTTTTTGTTTTTTAGTGCAATTGTTTTTTGTTCCTTTCTACCAATTCTTGAGAATGAAATAAAATGTCTTTCTGAACCTTGTTGGAACAAAATAGCATATACAACATTTTCTTAGACCTCTCAATATTATAGTTATACAAAGGAAATTTTGGTTGATTTAACAAAAAGTATGAAAAAACTTAAAACAAAACCCCCCAAAATAGATAAAAATTAAGATAAACGTTTTATTTCATTAACAAGATACTTTTTTTAAAATCAACCAAACTTTCCTTTGTACAATACAATATTGAGAGACCTAAACACGTTGTGTTTATGACATTTTGTTCCAATGAGGTTTGGATAGATGTTTCATTTCATTCCAAACATATGATACCAACAACAAAAGAAGTGTCTGATGCGTTTTCTAAAACAATATAGAGAAAAGTATATACAGTGTATATATATTTTAAATTATAATGTTTTGATGACTGTTTTAAGAGAAACAGATGTTCAAAAAGTTACCATATCGATACCACTCCTTTATGCAAGTGGGAATTTACATTTGTGTTTTTCTTATAATAAAGCAAGGTCTTGAACACAAAACTGTCCTCATCGTTTCTGTCTATAATCTTCTCTGAAGAATGTGAAATTGATTGAAATGATTCAATAATACCACTCACCGTTTGGTTTACTATCTTGTCTCTGAACCATACTGTGAGGTACTGCATAGGAAGAACAACGCCAGTCCCTCCTGGAAAACTACCATCTACGAATATGGCTACTCCAAATAATGTATGAGTAGTTTGTATAATCACAGCTGTGAAGAAACCAGCGAAATGAAGAAGCCATTTTACATATAAAGGGTATCTCTCAACAATAAATATATTTGTCAAATCCCAGCAACCTCTCCATGATTGTATTGTTGCCATGGAAACAAAAAATAAATATAAATCTTCAAATGCAATTTTGAAGAATTTATTAGGATTTTTGCTAAGTTTTCTTGATATGTAAAATGCAGGTATTTGAAGAATGACCACAATAACGTTCATGGAGTACCCAATTATTAATGATGTCACAGCAGACTGTGTTCGTTGTCCAGGAAATAGTAAACTGTCTGAGACTCTCCATACAGCTCTCCACATTATGGCAGTTAGAACCAAACATATAAAGTGAGAGAAGAATTGATCAAGGGTAAACTTCCACCAACAATCTTTCTGAAATGAAATAACAATGTCAATATTATTGATGTCTCCTCAGAAAAATGAACCAGTTTTTAAAGAACTACTCAATTTCCTCAAATGTTCCATAATAATAATTGATCAAACACAAATGGTACAAAGGCTGTGAACAGAATTGTTTAATTGTTTGTTTTGCTGTATTGGTAAGGAAACGTGGGTACTATTTCTGTTTTTTCTTGCTAAAATCATTTTAATTTTTTTGTCAATCTTTTCTAAATATGCTAAACTTAAAAATAAACCAATATTGATTGCCTGCCAAGGTTGAAAGGAAGAATATATTATCTTTTAAATACTATTATTACTGTGCCATGAGAACTAACATTTTAAAATGCATTTTTCACTGAACCACTTTCATGCATGGATGAGTTCATTCCTCACTTGTTTATCAAACATTTTTTCAACAAAAACATGTGAGGATAAATGCTACTGTTTTGCTCATTAATAGAAATTTAGACCTATAAAAGTTAGTTTTGAATAAGTTCAGAACTTTTCAAACAAAAAGTTCTTCAAATCACATATCACATAGTGTTATTTTGTAAGACTAAAATATAAGCTTTAAACTTTATAAAGAGCAAGAGGTAATAAGGTCTAAAATCAAAATATTTTGCAAGGCATTTAAACTAATAAAAAAATAAAACTAATAAAAAATATCAAAATTATGCTGATTAAATTGTAATAGCCATTTTTCATTCATCATATGCAACCTTATCACCTTACCTTAGCGCTAAATCTTGATGGAATCAAAAAGTAAAGATCTCGGTTATCAAGACTGACACCTAATGGTGTAGCTATAACATTTCTGGCAGACCTGAGCAAAACCAATGGGATATAAGCCACTGCAAGGGATATCCAAGCACTTCTAGTGCCCTTTCCATCATAAAAGTCATATGTTTCCCAAACTCCCCTCCAAAAGCTGATGTAACCCCAACTTCCAATATAAGTATATAATCGTGTAATGATTACATAGATAACTGGATGTGTTGATTTCCGTTTGACATATCTGCTGAAAGTGTGTTGTAGAAGTCGAAAAACCATGATTATTAGACTTCCAAGAGCGAAACATGTCCATAAATGAACTTCCGTGTTATTTGGGAAAATATATGTTGGCAATAATTCCCAAGTTCCTGCCCAATATGATGTATTGAACGCAGCAAATAAAAAGAAATTTATTGGAATATCCAATACTTTAAGTGTGTTTTTTAAATTTATTAACTTCATGTCTCACAAGTGAATTATAATTATGATTATGATTTGAGAATATTAGATTAACTTTCTTATTCTGAAGTAGGATCAATGTATCAAGGCCACTTCAGATAACCCACCTGTTTAGCAGCATTTTACCTTGAATGAAAAAAGAACATTTCAAAATGAAAAATAACTAAAAAAGGCAAGAGATAATAGATTGTCCAGGAATGGAATCATTCAATATTGAAACTCTAAATAGATTTTATTAGGGTTGGTAATTAATTTCTAATTTATTAAAATATTGCATAAAACAGTGGTTCTCCCAACAATGAAATGTGTTAAGAATTAAGTGAACCCCTCCATACATCAATTTGTCAAACGTCCATTCTTCTGTCAGTCCATCCATTTGTCCATCTGGAAAATAATTTAAATACTAGTGGACAGATAAGGCAGCATTGTCACAATATAAAAACTCCATAATCCAAATAGTCAAATACTTTGAACCTAAAAATATGTATATGACACTATGTAAAAAGACTCCAAAGGACTAGGTACATGTATAGTATAGCAAGTGATTTTGAACAGTTACATCTTTCACAATGAGTACTTTTTGGCCATAAATACAGTGTTTTTTATTAAAATAACATGTTTCCTTTTAAGTGAAGTCCCCATGGTAATAAAAATATCAGTTTAACCCTCTGAAAAATTATGGATTAGGACCCCACCTTGTCACTATTTCAAAAAATGATAGGCTCTTTTTAAGTAATAAGGTTAAACATTTTGAAAAGAATGATTGCAAGGGGTCCCTATTCATTATTTTTCGAATTGTTCGACTGATATTTTTATTATCCTTGAGAATTCACTTGAAAGATAACATATTGTGTTCATGAGAAATAATGTATTTAAATTGAGAGAATACTCATGGTGAAAGATATGACCATCTAAAATCACTTGCCAAACTATACCTGGTCCTTTGTGACAATTTTCTAGAAAGTTACTCTCAACTCATCTCTTATCATTGTGGACTCTCAAGCCTTTTATCGCATTCAGTAGTATTTAAATGTAACTTAAAGTATCTTAAACTGTAGAATTTGACACATATCATTTCCATATAGAACTTAATTGCAGGTTTAGATAGAAATTGACAGTGGACTAGTGGAATCAACAGTGATGCCCTCAAAAGGCAAGAGATAAATCTGATAACCTTTAATTACACTGTCAATCTCACTAGTCCATTTTTGAGATATGTATAATAGGGGCGTTTATGTTAATGAGAAATCTTTGAATCTTCAGTAGATAATACTCTGACCCCTTCAATTACTCACAGCACTCCAAATATGGGTCAATCATTGCAATCGAAATTTGTAAAAACCAAACAATATTGATAAATGATAATGGTGTACCATGGTGCCCATATTCACACTGATCAATTCATTTCTACAATGCAATTGCATGTACAAGAATGACATAAATTTCCTGAAGTTCATGGTCACAAGCATGTATGTACTTCACTCTACCCTAAAAGTTCATGTTCATGAGCTCTTCTTAAATTAATTTTTTTTTAAATCCTATAATAAATATGGTGATATAAAATGACTTAATTGTTAACTTTCATTTTCAATTATAACCTGTCCATTGATCGTTGAGAAAATTATATTGTCTTGAAGGCAGAATTTGTCATGGAGGGGTGACAAATTATCACATTTGATTAATGAACTTTTCAGATTTTTAAAATTTAGGCTTGAAAAAGAATAAGCCCCCAAAAATCCCAAATTGAAACATTTGAACAATATAAGGCTTGTGGCTCTGACTATAATGTAAACTTAGTGACTTTAAGTAGTAATAATAATACAGTAAGTTTAAATGGATTACATGGACACTTTATTATTCAGCTAATATATTATGCCCTTTGTAATATACATATTCAATAAATTTTTATACATTCACCTTTCAAATTCATCTTTCAAAGGTTAAACACCATGAATAGACAATTGAAAATAATTATTAAAGATAATGACAAATATCTAATATATTACTTTGATATTAGATAGGCTACTTTAGACTGTCTCTATTAGTGCCATTAATCCTGTTATCTTAAACTAGAAAAACTGCAACTCCACAGAGTAGCAAATCCCAGCGAACAAAACATATTTTGATTAAAGTAGCTATTTTGAAAATTACTTCTTGAGCAAAGCTTGTTTGTCCCTAGGCATCAACATGTAAACCATATATGTAAATTAGCATTTGAGTTATCAAAGATTACATTCCTTTTTTACGAAAAATGGCAGTCATTTTTAAATTGAGGTGCCATTTCGAAAATCTTTCTCCAACAGAGCTACTGTGTCCCATAGGCATCAGCATATAAATTTTGAACAAAATCCATTCACTGCTATTCGAGTTATCAAAGATTACATTTTTTAAGAAAAATGGCGGCCATTTTAAAATTCAGCTACTATCTTGAAAATTCTTTGTCAAACAGAGGTACTGTGTCTGTAGGCATCATCATATAAAATTTTATCCAAATCTGTTCATTGGTATTTGAACTATCAATAATTATGTTTTTCACGAAAAATGGCTACCATTTTGATATTTAGCAGCCATTTTGAAAATCTCATCTTCAGAGTAGCTCCTTTGTCCCTAGGCATCAGCATATAAGATTTGAACCAAATCCACCAACTAGTATTTCAGTTATCAAAGATTATATTTTTTACAAAAAATGGTGGCCATTTTGAATTAAGTGGCCATATTGAAAATTCCTTCTCGAGCAGAGGTTCTACACCCATAAGGCATAAGCCTATCAAATGTGAATCAAAATCTGTCAACCGGTATTTGAGTTATCACCCGGACAAACAGACGAACAGACAGACGAATGGACGGCTTTCTTATATCCCCCTCGATCTTCGTTCGGTGGGATAATGATAGTTCTTACTCAGAGGTTTATTTCTTGAAACCTTGTTGATGAAGTAGATTAAGATGACACACAATTCAGATTAATATCAATGAAAAAAAGCTTGATAGTGTCTTTCATGAACAGGAATGCCTGGGTCCCATCTATATTCAGATTGGAGAGGTTACTGAGCACACCATACTCTAGCAATCATTGATACTTTGTCAGTTTTATATTTAAGAGTAAAACCTGTTAAGTTGAACCACTCTAGAAGTGAACACCTTTGTAAGTGGAACACTTTTCATAGCCCCAAGACCCGCTGAATTAATGGAACAACTCCCAAGTGAAACACTTTTTAGAGGTACCAAAGGTGTTCCTTTATACAGGTTTTACTGTAGTTGTATACATATACATCAATATTCAGGTTTATTGCACTCACCCTTTATTACTTTAGAATCATTGAGGGTTTTGAAGGGTTTTGGTTTTAACACCCATAAGGAAAATCACGGAGTGTCATAAATTAGTAACACCAAAAGCACTTTCTCTGTATTCCTTGGATGTGTTAATACGAATGCTATTGTGGTTTTCATCTGTCAGTCCCATATCAAAGTTGTTATTTATTCCACTGGCCTTGTTATCTTCTGTGTTCTCAGCTGGAGAGTTATTCTTATCAAAAATACCACGTTTTGATGTTGTGCTGTCTGTAACTTCTTGTCTTGGTAGATTATTCTGAAACATTGATTATAAAAGTGCAAATAGGTAAAATACTGCAGTAAAGATATAAATTGGCAAAGATTTCATTTGAGATAGAATAACATGTGTATGACTTAAGCTATATTCTATATGTTCATTTTAATAATGTTTTTAATACATTTTGGAAATT